CTATCTAAAAAATATTTAAAGTTAGTGTAATAAATTAAAAATAAAATATTTAGGTTTTTTTTTAATAAATGAATGAAGATTACAAAAATACAAATATATTTTAGATATTTTTATAATTGTTTATATTTATTTACAATTTTTAACAATGTTTTTATTAAGATGTAACAAATAAATATACCTTTTATAGTAAATTTTATATCTATAGCTTTATATAACACACATACATACAGACATACATACACAGTCAAAATATGTAAAAATGCATGAATATTTATCTTTGAATGTGTGTGTATAGAACAAGTATGAATAAAAATGACAAAAAAAAACTACATTATAGAATTTTTTAATAAAAATATAAATGCTTATAATATATAATAAATGAAAATACAGAATAATCTGTTACTAATTAAAACAACATCTGCTCCCCTCCTTTTTTTCATTTACTTTTTATCCTTTTGTTGTTGTTGTTTTTTCTTTAACTATGACGTAAATATGATTGTGATGTGCTATATTGTCACATTTTTGTTACATCTCAATAAAAACATTGTTAAAAATTGTAAATAAATATAAACAATTATAAAAATATATTAAATATATTCGTATTTTTGTAATCTTCATTCATTCATTAAAAAAAAACTAAATATTTTATTTTTAATTTATTACACTAACTTTAAATATTTATTTGGCAACTCGTTGAATAAATTGTACAACATTATACATATAAAAATTTGGTTGTTATAATTTATTTTACATTAAAACTATGTTTTAAGTAAGCTTAAAACATGGATGTTGATATATTTAAATGATTATATTATATTATTCATTCAATTTCTTTTTTTTTTTTATAAATCAGGGGTCGCCACAGCAGAATGAATCGCCAACTTATCCAGCATATGTTTCACACAGCGGAAGTCCTTCCAGCTGCAACCCAACACTGTGAAACACCCATACACTCTCATTCACACACTCATACACTAGTGACAATTTAGTTTATTCAATTCACCTACAGCGCATGTGTTCGGACTGTGGGGGAAACCACAGCCACAGTGTCACCCTATATTATATATATATATATCTTATTTTATATATATATATATATATAA